GGAGGGCTGGCGCGGGGCTGCGCCCCGGGCCAGCCCTCAGGGCGCCGGGATGGAAGTTGGAGCCGCTTCCTCTGGATCCAGGCCCTCCCCCGGCCCTCTGGCTCGGGGATATGGGCGCTGTGTCCGTCCCAGGCCCGTAGGGCCGCGCACTGGGGCTGGGAGGGGGCCGTGTGGGTGCCGCTCGGGAGGCCACCCCACTCTCTTGGGCCTCCTCTGCCTCCCCCTCGCAGGGCCTCTCCAGGGTCAGCCCGCTTCCCTGGGAGGCTTCCGACTGCTTCCTGGATACTCTGGGGCCTGGTGTGCACCGTAGCTGGGGGCGGCAGGGCTGATTAGGAGCTGCCTTGGGGAAGGGGGAGCAGGGCTCCAGGGAGGTCCATAGTCGCTGTGAGATTCCAGGTGCAGCCCGGGAAAGGCGGATGAGAGGGGCACCAGTGACTGCCTGGAGACTGGAACTGCCCTGGCTCATCTGTGGGGTGCTGGGGCCACGCCCCTTGAAAGAAAGGGGTGTGTATGTTGGGGGGAGGATGTGGACAGTGCCTCTGCCCCCTGATCCTGTGCTCCTGCACCTCGTTCCATGCTGAGGAGGGTTCTCTGGGTCTGGGCGGGAGGGTGGGGCTCAGCCTTTGGTCCTCTGGCCCTTGCTGAGCTCACCCCAGGTACCCCCAGCTCCCTTCTGGTTTGGGATGTGCAGGAAGACCAGGTGTTGCACCAGGCAGCCAAGACTTTTCCACGCCTTTGAGGAGCACCCAGTTCCATACAAGAGGCTGACCAGAAAACCAATGATTCTGCTTCAGGGCCCAACAAGGGCGTTTCAGGCAGAGGACAGCATGGACTGAGGGCTGGCAAACTCCTGTGTGGCTGAGGTGTGTGCTTTGGGGGTGGGGATTAAGTGAGGTGCCTTGGACAAAGAAGACAGCCCTTTTTCTGGCTTTCTGTGGCTCCCAGGTCGTTGCCTGCATGTTTTTACCCACCAGAAAGGTTCCCGTGTCTAGATCATTTGTCCAGCTGGAGAAGACACCGCCTCGAGGGAAGGCAGAGTGGTGGGCACTTAGTTTCTGAGAGCAGGACTCTAATACTCCCAGGTCCTGGTTCCCTAGAACCGGTCTGATGGGAGAATGGGACATCTCAGGATCACCTCCCTGGGCCTCTGTTGGGGGAAATGGAGTGACAGGGGCAGCTCTCTGTCCTGCTTGATAATGGGGCACCGTGGGGCAGAATGGCAGTGTCTTCTTTATTCGTCCATGCCCCAATCTATCTGAATCCTAGAGAGATTCAGAGTGAGGGCCGTGGGACTAGGATTCTGAGTGAGGGCCTTTGTTTCTCAGGGTGTGGAGGACTGGTGGTGGGACTGGCTGGGAGAGGGACAGAGGGGGGACCTTGCTCTCTCCATGTTCTGCTGGATGGATCAGTCCATCCTGTCCAGCAGTGGAGCCCCACTGTGGCAGGCCTGTCTGCCTCTGTCCCGGACTCCATCTCTCTGGCTCACCCTCAGTCCACATACCCAATACAGTTCAACTTCTCCCTCCCCAGTGTGGCGCTGATTGGGATCCAGCACTGCCCACTTCCCATGCTGGGAACCTGCAGTCATTCCCACTGCCTCCACTGCATGGTCCAGCAGATTCTACCCCCAAGCCTTTGCTCTTGCTGCTCCCTGCCCCCAGCCCAGCATGATCCTCTCCAGCACCCAGGCTGCTTTGGATTGAATGCATTTTTTCTTGGGCAGACCAGAGGCATGTGGGAGTCGAGCCCCAGCAGGTCTGCTGGCCTTCCAGGTCTCTGTGGGAGCCTGGGATTCTGTCCCTGTCCTGCCGGGACTAGCTGGGTGACCTTGGGTCTATCTGAGCCCTGGGCCCTGTATCTCTAAAATAGGGGGAGTGACTTAGATGTCTTTGCTGGCCCTTGGGAGATGATAGGCATAAGGACCCAGCCCTGGATTCTGGATCCCCCTTTTCCTGGCAGGCAGCCCTATATGCCTGGCCTGTTCCTTCCCTTCCGGCCAGCCTCTGTTGCGGGGAGGGGGAGTAGGCCCAGGGACAGGCATGAGTTTGGATGGTGGCTTCTTCATCTGGGTCCCTCCTGTTTAATATAAAAAGTAGGGCCCATAATTGCATTAAGACATGTATAATTATCCCAGAGGAGGGGAGAGCCCAGCCCCTGGTAATTGCAGGTCTGCTTTGAACTGATAAACGGTGAGTGATTCATGTTTTCTTTGGAGTTCACATGCACTCAGCTTTTAGCTCAGGCCCCGCTGCCACTGAGAGGAGCCTGTTTTGGGGCTCCTGAGCTGGGGGTAGAGAGTAGGGGGCTGGTAACTCCTCTCCTGGCTACCAGCAGAGGTCTCTGGTGGCTGTAGTTCTTTGAGGCTATGTCTGGGCAGAGATCTCAAGGAAAGGCAGCTGATAGCCTGATGGGAGGGTCTTGTAAGGCAGCACAACCTGGTTCTTTTGCTGGTGAGATCCTGGATAATGCCTCTCAATTCCTGAGCCTCAGTGTCCCCACCTGAGCAGTGGTGTAGGCATTCACTGGGGAGTGAAGGGGAGTGAAGACACAGTGAGGAAGCAGGTTCTGTTCTGCCCTGTACCCATTCATTTATTCTTTCATTCATTCACAAGTATTATGAAGTCAGCTTTGGGGATACCGTGGCAAACCACAGAGCGAGGCCGTGCTCTCAGAAAACTGCCATTCTACTGGGGAGAGAGTCTGGGAACAATAAATAACAAAACCATTAGCATGTCTTGTGCTGCAAATTCAAATGGGCTGACTGGTTGTGAGGGAGCAGCTGCTGCCTTTAGCTAACAGGTCAGGGGAGGCAGCTGAGACCAAGCAGGGGTGTGGAGGCAGGGGAGGGAAGCACCTCAGGATAGAGGATGGCAAGTCCAAGGGCTTGGAGGAGGTAGCCATGGAGGCCTAGAGACCGCTGGGCCTTGTTCGACAGCCAGGCCTTGTTTGACAGCCAGCCACTACAGTGGCCAACCTGGACCTCAGCTTCCCCACCTGTAAAATGGGGCTGCCAGGCCATATTAGGGGAATTGGCTGGGAGCAAAGGATGTGCGTGGACCTGGCCAGCACCTGCCTGCAGACAGGGCTCAGCATCTCTGTGGTCATTCTCCAGCCAGGAGTAGGGTGAGAGGCTCCAGCACATCTGGCAGAGCCAGGCAGGATTCCTACTGGCATGGAGAGGGTACTCCTGCTGATGGCACCTTGTAGGAGTGCCTTGTCCTTCTCCATTTCATCCATGAGAGAGTAGCCATTATCCCCATTTTATAAATGGGGAAATAGAGACTGGGAAAGAGGAGTGACCCCCCCCCACCCCCACCTTAGGGCTGCATGGCTACAGCTACAGAGTCTGAATTTAACCCTGTGCCTTACTGCCAACCTCTAGGCTGAGAGAAGATGAGACTTTTCCAGAGGAAGGGGGGCTATGGCAGGATTTGGGGGCTGGCGACTTCACATGCAGTTTAGAAAAGTGGCCCAGGCTACTGTGTGGAGACTGGGCTGTGGGTGTACTTGAGTGGAGGGGGCCAAGTGCTATGGTCATCTAGGTGGGAGAGGGGTGGGCAGCTCGGGGGAGATTTAGGGAGTGAGTGTGCCATGAGGGTGGTATCTGTGAGTAGGACTATCTAGATCCTGCAAGGGAGCATATATCCCCAGACCCTTGGGCAGAGGTTGGAGCTGAGGCAGGGCTTGTCCCTTAGGGCAAGCTCTGAATCAGGAGGTGATGGTTCCCAGTCTAGACCCTAAACCCTCACCCATCTCCTTGTTCTTGAGTCCATTTCTCTCCTCTGCCTGGCCGATGATGGCAGGCCTAGGCAGGCGTTCATGGAAAAATCTGGTGGCCAGGCAGGTGTCCTTTGCTGCATGTGGGGGTCACAAGGCTTGATCACAGCATCCCTTGTAGGGGAGGTGTCTTCTCTGCACCTCTGACTTCTCTAGGGTTAGATCATGCCCCTGGAGGTGTAGGGTGGGCAGGCACACTAGAGAGCTCGTGAGATGGCATGTAAGTGTGTCTGCCTTCCGAGGGGTGAGGCCTTGCCCACACTCATACCCTCTTCCTCTTTTTCCCTATAGGGCTGAGGCTCCAGACCCCATGAGGCACATCCCTGCAGGACCTAAGCGCCTCAGCCAGATGCCTGGGCCCGCCATGCCGCTCACACATCTGAGCCCACAGGTGCTCCTGCTTCTCCTGCTGCTGGGGGTTGTGCAGGCAGTGGCAGGTGTGCCTAGGGTAGGCGGGGGTCAGCAGCCCACCTTCCGCACCTTTGCTGCAAGTGACTGGGGCCTCACACACCTGGTAGTCCATGAGCAGACAGGCGAGGTATATGTGGGTGCAGTGAACCGCATTTACAAGCTGTCGGGGAACCTGACGCTGCTGCGGGCCCATGTGACGGGCCCTGTGGAAGACAATGAGAAGTGCTACCCACCCCCCAGTGTGCAGTCGTGCCCACACGGCCTGGGCAGCACCGACAACGTCAACAAGTTGCTGCTCCTGGACTACGCCGCCAACCGCCTCCTAGCCTGTGGCAGTGCTTCCCAAGGAATCTGCCAATTCCTGCGGCTGGATGACCTCTTCAAGCTGGGTGAGCCCCACCACCGCAAGGAACACTACCTGTCAAGTGTGCGTGAGGCAGGCAGTATGGCAGGCGTGCTAATCGCTGGGCCACCGGGCCAGGCCCAGGCCAAGCTCTTTGTGGGCACACCCATTGACGGCAAGTCTGAGTACTTCCCTACGCTGTCCAGCCGCCGGCTCATGGCCAACGAGGAGGATGCCGACATGTTCAGCTTTGTGTACCAGGATGAGTTTGTGTCATCGCAGCTCAAGATCCCCTCAGACACACTGTCCAAGTTCCCGGCCTTTGACATCTACTATGTGTACAGCTTCCGCAGTGAGCAATTTGTGTACTACCTCACCCTGCAGCTGGACACACAGCTGACCTCACCTGACGCTGCTGGCGAGCACTTCTTCACCTCTAAGATTGTGCGGCTGTGTGTGGATGACCCCAAGTTCTACTCGTATGTTGAGTTCCCCATCGGCTGTGAGCAGGCGGGGGTGGAGTACCGTCTGGTGCAGGACGCTTACTTGAGCCGGCCTGGCCGTGCCCTGGCCCACCAGCTGGGTCTGGCCGAAGATGAGGATGTGCTGTTCACTGTGTTCGCCCAGGGCCAGAAGAACCGCGTGAAGCCACCCAAGGAGTCGGTGCTGTGCCTGTTCACTCTCCGGGCCATCAAGGAGAAGATCAAGGAGCGTATCCAGTCCTGCTACCGTGGCGAGGGCAAGCTCTCGCTGCCCTGGCTGCTTAATAAGGAGCTAGGCTGCATTAACTCGGTGAGTAGGCCCCGTGGCGTTGTGGAGGGCTGCCCCCGTCCTGCCAGCCTCACATAATTAGCAGTCTTGGCCCCATGCGACCTTCTGAAACAGTAACAGAAATGCCAAGCGTATGCCCATGTAGTACTTGCCCTGTTCCAGATCCTAATACTGGCCCATTGTCTCCCAGAGGGTTGGGGCTGCCCCCATGGTGTTGGCCGTGGAGACTACTCCCAAGCCTGCACTGTCCTGTTCCTTTAGGAGACACAGGGACCACATGCCTGGCACTGTTCCGGGTGCTTGCCAGCCCCATCAAGTCTCCATTGTACAGATGAGATCTCTGAGGCTCAGAGAGGTGAGGTGACTTGCCTAGGGTCATAGCCAACCAGTAAGAGGCAGAGCTGGAACCAGACTAGCATCGGGTGGGCCCCAGACACCGACTCCCCCACAGTCCCCTGTCAGGAAGCTCTGTTCACTCTTGTCTTGGCCACGTGTCTGCCCTCTGGGCTTCTCTGCCCTTACCCGGCAATGGGAGCTAACAACACCAGCCCTGACTTTGGGTGTCCTGAGTGCGCAGGTGCTGGGTGCTCAGTAGCTGGCAGCTGTAGCTCCCGTTTCTAGGCCGTGATAGGGCAGGCCTGGGGCCAGCTGCTTTTTGGGGAGCATCTTGTATATGCAGCCTGGTAGTAGGAACCACTATTTTTCTGAGGATGACCCCAGGCTTAGAGGGGAACTTTTTCAGGGTGGCAAGTGAAAAAGCCAGGACTTCACCTAGGTCAGGGACTTGCAGATCCAGTCCTCAGCCCCACTGTTGCTGCCTAGGACTGGCTGGGTGGACCCTCGGGCAAGCCCATCCTCTCTCTAGCCTCGGTTTTGCCATGTCTCTACTGGGAGTGACACTGTTTTGTCTTCAGAGCAGGGTGAGACAGTGAGGATTCCCTTAGCCCTTCTCACATGCAGTGCAGCGGGGGGCCTCATGACAGGGCCACCCTCCACATCAAGGCCCTGGGTGCACTAGGCAGATGCTTGTCCATCCTCGGCCTTTCAAGGAAGGCGTTTTATGTCCGTTGTGTGGCTAGAGAAACTGAGGCTTGGAAGGGCAGTGCCTGTTGAAGTCACATTGTGTGGTTTGCAGGCCTTTGCCCATGGCCAGGTCTGCCCCTTCCCTGGGCATCGTTCCCACTTCTTTCTCACATCCCCTCTATTCCCTCTTGCCCATGATGCCCTTGGCCAGGTCCCTGTCCTGGGGCCACTCCAGGACCCTGGCTCAGCCCCGATCTTGCCTCTCCACCTATTCTTGCCTTCTGGCTCCCAGCTTGGTGGCCCTACCTCATTTGCAACCTCTCTCCCTGAAAACCTCAAGACAACCAGCCTGCTGCCAGGAAGACCAGCTGTTCCCCTTTTGTTCACCTAGAACCTGCCTATTCACCCTGCCCTCCTTCTCGTGGGGGAGCACCAACCCTCCATTCCCGGTCACTTGGTCTTCTCCGGAACCTCACACTATTGATTGTTTTTTATACCTCAGTCACCTCCTAAGCTGGGCCCCTCCCTTTGTCTTTTTGGTGTGACCCCTGTCTCCTGTCTTGAATAAACCCTTCCTGTGCCTCACAACTCCCTGATGGCTATCCCCTGCCTCTCTGTGGCCATTTCTGGTGTATCGGGCTTGGCTCCCTGGCTGGTTGTTTCTTGGCCTTTCCCTAGGCTGCTTCCTTCACTCCTCCCCAACCCCGGGTTGGGTGTGGGTCGTTTATGTGGTGTGTGTGTGAGAAATGGGTCCAGCCCTGGTCCTGTCTGGGCCTCAGGCGGCTTCAAGGAACCTTGATTTCTCAATCTATCAAATGGGTCCAGGAGTCCCTGATACCTTAGATCTGTGCACGTGGTGCCCTGAGTCATGGCCCCTCTGTGTGGCCGTGTGCTTGCCTCTGAGGACCTGCTGTGGGCCTCTCCAGTTAGTGGAGCTGGCCGGTCCTGACTGTGAAGTCCCCACTCTGCGGGAGGTGTTCAGGACAGGTGGACAGCCCAGGGCCTGACCTTTCCCCTCCTACAGCCCCTGCAGATCGATGACGACTTCTGTGGGCAGGACTTCAACCAGCCGCTTGGGGGCACAGTTACCATTGAGGGCATGCCCCTATTCGTGGACAAGGAGGATGGTCTGACTGCGGTGGCTGCCTACAACTATCAGGACCGCACCGTGGTGTTCACCGGCACTCGCAGTGGCCGCATCCGAAAGGTCGGGCCTGGGTTGGGGGTGCGGTGATGGGGTGGATGGAGCTGGGGCAGGAGACAGCATTGCTCTGTGACTGGAAGGTCAGATACAGTGTATGAGGAGGTGGGTGCGCCTCCCCTGTGCCAGGCCCGATGACTGCCGGGGCTCAGGCAAGGGGTCTGAGCGGGCCCCAGGACCCCCTGCCTGCCTTTCCTTGCTCCTCTCATGGGGTGCTGTTGTGTTGTACACTGCAAAGGCCCTGTGTGGGCATCTGAGGATCTGAGGGTGGATCAGGGCTTGTGAGGGGCCTGGCCACTCTGCCATCCCCCCATTGCTTGGAGGTGCTGGCCTTGATCTCTTAGGACACAGGGTGACTTGAGAAGGCTGTGTGTGGGCGGTGGGAGCAGGCATGCCTGCCCAAGCCCCCTCCCCTCCTGGGGATCCAGTATCTGCTGAGGCAGCACTGTGCTGTGCAGGAGGCCCCCGCCCTGCAAGGAGGTAGCAAGGCCAAGGGCAGGGCAAGGGTAGTGCCCCGCACCCGCCACTGGCTGGTGCAAGGGGAGTTACTGCTGAGTGACAGGCACCAGCTTCAGGGCCATTCCCGGGGTTCTCAGGGTGAGAGCTGGGGGTGCAGTGGGGCAGTGCCTGTCTGATGTTTACAGGTTCCTTCTCACCAGCCATTGTTGGGCTGAGCAGAGCTGGATCCGTGAGAGCTTCCTGGAGGGGGCAAGTGAAGGCAGCCACCCTGTGGGTCAGGCCGACTTGGTGGGTGGTTGGGGACCACACCAGGGTAAGGCTGGCCTTCTGTGGAAGAAGTTCCTGGAGCAACTGTAGGGTGGGGGTTCATGGGAGCCCCAGAGGGTCAGTGCAGGGGCAGGGCCTGGTGGATGAAATAACAGCTGTCCTGAGGCCTGGTGCTGACACAGCTCCCCGCCATATACCCGTGGGTCAGGGCTGGGCCTGGAGCCAGCATGGGCCTTGCCTGCTCTCAGCCACCATGTAGAGTGTGCAGGAGGGGTCTCCCTGTCTCTCAATGGTGAATGCCCTGTGAATCATGTCCCACCATTCACAGGCTCTGTGATCTCTGAGAAGGGATACTCCCCCTACCCTCAAGCCAGGATGTGTGGGCTCTGGGCTGGGGTGACCTTGGAGCATTGGGGGTCCATCTGCTGACTGAAAGCCACCCTATGGTGCTGTGGGGGGTCTGCTCACAGCGACTGGGAGGCTGAGTGCCTGTCCACCTCTGGCCAGTGGGGGCGGTATGCAGGCCACTGCAGACCCCGTCACATTCTGTGCAAGCCCCTTGTGCTCTCAGAACCTATCTTGTGTAGTGACCCACCTCCACACCCCTTGGTCCTGGTGTTGGGGGTACTGCCTTCAGCATGAGTGTGGGACCTTTTTCCTTCTTAGGGATAGCGCCCCCACCTAGCATGCACTTCCTCTTCCTGCCCTAGGGAGGGCATGTGGGGATCGGGGAGCAGGGGAAAGGGCCAGCAGAGCCCCCTTGCATGTGTTATGCAGGTTTTGTTTGGCAGGGGCCAGAGAGCCTCCTCTTCAAGCAGGTCCACAGGTGAAGCCTCTTGTAGGATGTCTTGGAGACATCCTACAGGGAGCCCCTTTTAATGGCTTGGTGGGCTGGTAAGCAGCTAGCTGAGGTGCTGTCTGTGCCCACAGGCCACCCTGTGAGGCTGGGAGAACAGGTTAGTCCGGCCCTGCTTCCTCTGCCTCCTCCTTACTCCCCTGCCCCAGGGCCATGTCTGGGTGGGGTCTGGGTGGGAGCTTTTGAGTCTAGTTGGTCCTGCTCTTCTCTCTCCCTGCCCAGTCCCCCAGAGGGGAAACTGAGGCCCAGTGTGTGGACTATGGAGTTGGGCTTGGGCCCATCCATGAGAATAGGCTTCATTGGGCATGGGGAAGCCACAGGCAAGATCCTCCTTTCCTCCTCCACCCCCATACCTGCCTCCCAGAGCCCTGTCCTGGGTACTGGCTCCTTCTACCCCTGGAGCCATTGGCTGGTCACCACACACTACACTTGAGTGGATGGTGCCTTTTCTGGGTGTGGGATCCGCCATGCCCAGCGGCTGCTGGCCTGGTGGTGGCACTCTGTGAGTTGGGGAATTCTATCACGTTGGTTTTGAGGCTCTCCCATAGAGGCGTGCCCTTGCTTCACCCTTAGACCTGCCGCCTGCACTCCTTCTATCCACATCTACCTGCCTGAGTAGAGGGTATCTCTCAGGAGGCTGTCGCTCCTGTTCACACGTCTTGTTGTTCACGTCTCCTAGCTGATTGTTCACAGCCCAGTCTCATACAAATGGCTCAGCATGGCATGGCCTCAGCTCTCCTGCCACCAGCTGTTTGATCTGGAGCTGACTGTCTAGCCTTTCTGAGCCACAGTTTCCCTGAGCACAGCGTGAGTAAGGGGAGAGGATGTACAGGCAGGCCCAGAACCTGACACGCTCCTGCTTCCACTCAGGACATGCAGAGAGTGTTCATGTGGTGGTGCCTCATGGGACCCTCACAACAACCCTGTCATCTGCTTGACAGATGGGGAAACTGAGGCACATAGGTGGAAGCAGCACATGCCCACGATTACTGGCTCCAGGGTCCTTACTTGTGACTTCAACCTCCCTCCCTTTTATGTAGGTCCTTGGAGAAAAGGAAATGGGGGCCCCTACCTCAGTGGTCCTCTCTCTCTGAGTAGGCCTGGTGTTCAGGGCAGCCCATCACTCAGGAGCCCCCCATCGCCTGCTCCAGCCTAAGCCGCCAGCCTGCAGGGCTTTTTCTTTCCATAGCCCAGGACATCAGCTAGCAGCTGCCTGGGACCAGACCAGGCTTCGGCTCCTGTGGCCCAGCCTTCTTGCCCTGTCTGCCTCTCCACTTCCTCCAACCTGTGTGCCCTTGAGCCTCATATCCCACCCTGGGGTATGTCTGCTGGTGGGGGCTTGGAGCAGGGTGTGGCCAGGAGAAAAAGATGCACCCCTTGTTTGCCCTTTGGCCAGAGTTCCAGTCCTACTCTGCCACCTCAGCTCTGTGACCTCTCCCAGGTCCCCATGCTAGGCCTTCAGCCTTGACTCACTTCAAAGGATGCGCTGCTCCCTGCTGGCACATGCCTGTTGGGCTGGAGCCCAGCTTGTGGCGAAGAATTGACTCTCACCTCATCCCTCCTTTATCGGAGGTGGGGGTGGCTGTGGTCCAGTGGCTGGGGCTAGGGCAGGAAGGGCCATTGGGTGCCCTCTGCTCAGCCCGGCTCAGCGTTGTGCTCCCACCTTCCTGCTTGGCTGCCTAGCTACCTCTCCTCTAGGACTTAGGAGGGCTGGGCCCTTCTTACCGTGGAGGCTGGCCCAGGCCTGGCCCCACCCTGTGAGTGCAGTAGGCACTGCCTCCTTGCCTTCTGCTCTCTGTCCTCGCCCTGGGGACTCTCACCCACTGTTGACCCAGGGGCAATGCCTGCTCTGTTGGACACACCCTGCCTTCCTCAGGCGTGGTCTTTTCTGGACTTTTAGGTAGCCACTGAGGAGCTCCAGAAATGAGTTGGGCCCAGGCCACACTACTCCAATTTATAATTTTAAAATTATAACCAATTAATTTAATACCTGTTAACTTTAGCTGCTTGGGCCTAGCTGGCGTGCCCCCTGATTCCCCTGCACTTCCCCAGAGGCCCAGCCCACCACTGGCTCCCCTACATAGGCAGCCTGTTCTCCTGAGCTGAAATCCCCCACAGAACCCCAACTCTACATGTAGCCCCTCAGAACCTTTTTCCCCTCCTGTGGCCTCCGGGGACCCCTTGGGCCTTGCAGGAGTTCCCAAGAATGGCTCCTGGTTTGAGTCTTTTGTAGTCAGGCCAGGTACCTTTGTGGGTGGGGAGAGAACAAGCCCTGGACTCCTTCCAGCTGGTGCCCACCCTGCCCCTCCTTAGCCCGTTGGCCTTCCATCCCTGATTCTCTGTTTTTTTTTGCAAAGCAAAGGCAGGGACAGTCCCAGCCCTGTGGGCCTGGGACGAGGGGTGCCGTGGGGCCAGCCCTGAAGGGGTCCTGGGCTGAGGAATGCAGTGTTGCCCTTAGTGCAGCCCTGACTGCTCCAGTACCTGTGCCAGGTGGGAACGTGGGCCCCATCTGCCCAAGCATCTGGTGTTTCTAGAGAATCTGGAAATCTGTATTTTGTGTGAGATCTCTTGATTATTAAGCGTTGGCAACTAATCCACATTTTTAGAAAGTATTGTTGGCCAACCCAGGCTTGTCGTGAGCCACCATTTTGTGGCCTGAGGATCTGGGCCATGGCATTGTGGGCCCCTAGGGTACCAGGCCTTGGTGTGGAGCCCAAGGTATAGTGGTACAGCTGGGCACTGGGGCTGGACCAGAGGTGAAGCCCCCTCTTCCCAGGTCCTCAGTTTCCTTTCCTCCACACAACGTGGGCCCTGGCCTCTGGGGTCTGTTGGGAGGCCCATGAGCAAGTTGATAGTCCCTGCTCTGTGATGATTCCTGAACAGAGGAGAGACTGAGAGCTGCAACTGCAGTGCTTGTCCCTCAGAGCCCGGGTCACGCTGGCAGGGCTGTGGTCCCTGTGCTTGCATGCCTCAAAGCATTTGGAGCTGCCTGCTTTCAGCTTGCCCTCGGACATCACTGCTTTGCTCATGGTTCCTAATCACCTACTGTGTGCTGCCCTGACCTCTTACCCTCCAGAGGATTTCATGTCTTTAGAAGATTCTCTCTGGATGTGTCTTCCTATTCCCCTGGCATCACCTTGTCATGATTCTGAAATTCAGAGATCCTGAAAATTAAGTAGCACTTCTGAGACCTGTGTGTAGTGATTATTGGCAAGTCCCTGCAGCTGCGGCAGCCAGTGCAGGCCTTTTCTCAGGGTCTCTGTGTCAGGTCGTCCCTGCTCTGGGCCGAGAGCTTGCTTGGTACATCCAGGAGGGGCCCCTGCTTCTCCAAAGCCCAGGTCTGCAGGCAGCTGGTGGGGGAGCCCCATGGGGCTGGGTACAGGGGGTTAGGGATGCTGGTCCCAAGAGAGATGCCTGGCAAAAC